ACTGGCAATAAGGAGTTCTGCCTGAAATGTCATAAAACAATTAAGATTGGTCCGAGAGAACTGATGAATTAGTTATTGGTATCTTATCTTTTAATGACCCCTGTGTGTTCTTAGATCTATTTTCATTTTCGTGTGTTTCTGTCAGCATGCGTGTATATATGTGTATATTCTCTCTATATACATACACACTGTCTCACTACGAGGAATTAGTAAACACATTTGTACACATACACACAGACACACGCATACCGTCCCATTACAAGGACTCAGTACATACACACACACACACTTAAATACATACGTACACACATACTTCCCAAGTTACATGGAACCACTATACACATACACACACACACACACATATATATATATACGTACATACATACACACGTACTTCCTAAGTTGTGTGGGGTTTGTGTGAGCGTGCCCATGAGTAGTTCCTTGCTTTTGTCAACATGTGTATATATATATTTTCATGCTCCACAGCTACCCGCATGTGAGCGTGCGTGCATGTATGTGAGTGGTTTGATCACTGTATTTGGTCATCATGTGTGCATGTTGTGTGCTTTTGCGTATGGGATTATGATCTATTTAGTTCTGGTTTAAATTTGTTTATGACGTTTTTTCTTGTATTTGTAGGTAAGAATAATTGTCTGTTTATATATTGACATAATATTAAATTTACCCTGGTTACATTTGAAGATGTGTTGTGATACAAAAAGTTTTCTGTTGTCTGGTAATTTTATGTTGCTTTTGTGTAGGGAGACCCTGTTGTTCAGTTGTTGGCGGATAACTATATATGACTTCTTACATTTTGTGCATTTAAGTACATAAATCAAATTTTGGGAGTTGCAGTTTATATTTTTATTTATTATGAATGTCGTTTTGAGGTTATCAAAAGTTTAGGAGTTTCCTTCTATAATGATGTCACAAACCCCACATCTTTTTTGTTGCATTTTGTGACTCCCTGTATTGTGTGTTGGTTAAATTTAGATAAGGCTAATATGTGATTTAGGTTTTTAGATTGGCGTTTGCTTTTAATTATTTTGGTTGTTTTTAGTATATTTTTCAGTTTATTATTCTTGCTAAGTAGGTCTAGATGTTTTGTAATTTCTGTGAATAGTTCTGGATTGTTTTTGTTGTATGTTGAGACATATGGTAGACTTGGTTGAACGTTACGTTTCTTTTTATTTCTAAGTTGGTCTAGAGGAAATTTTTTGCGAGTTCAAAACCTTTGTTTATTAGTGTTGTGGGGGTAGCCTCTTTTTTTTTAGAGTTTTATGTAGTTCTTCTAGGGGGGGGGTTCGCAGGTGTTTATCAGTCACTATAATACAAACCCTACGTGCTAGAGAATAGGGGATGGATTTTAAGCAGCTTTTTGGGTGATGTCTCTTGAAATAAAAATATTGTTGGGTGTCTGTGGGTCTGTGGGAGATATCTGTGATTATGTGGTTTTTATTTCTAATGTATGTCTAAAAATGGTAATTCGTTAAAATTATATTCCTGCATAAATTTGATTTTTGGGTGTAAGTTTTGAAGTAGTGTGTGGAATGTATATATATGTCTATGCATACACACATAATATAAGGAACGGAAACAACAAAATCATAAATATGTGTATTACTTTAAAAGTAATGCATGATTAGCAATGAAATTCTTACCGAATAAATATTAGGGTGTAATGCATAAATATTATACAAAGTTACAAAAATTTACATAATAGTTTTCTTTAAATAAAGATTAAATGGAACAAAACAAATAAGCTACTGGAAAAAAAGTTAATGAACGATCTTGTTAATACTTAAACAAAATATCAACAAAATTTAATATTTGGCAAACATCCCCTTATTTTCAATGACTTCTCTGTATCGTCGACCACATGATCTAATTAATTTCTTGCAAAAATCATCAGTAATTCCCACCCGTTCGTATTTTAATAACTCCCATAGGTGATCCTGGTTTTACGGTTTTCTTTTCTGAGCCCTTTCTCCAATTATCTTCCAAAGATTTTCTATTGGATTCAGGTCGGGTCTCTATTAGGGCGATTTTTTCTTCTTCAAATAAAGCCATAACCTTCTGAGCCTTGTGGCAAGGTGCATTGTCCTGCATGAAAATAGGAGATTCATAAAGATTATGGTGTAATCTTGGTACCAGATGCTGCTGAAGAAGCCTTTTGTAAATCTCAGCATTGATATTGCCATGTACGCGGATGGTAGGGCCAACTCCTGCAGATGAAATCATTCCCCACACCATCACACTGCCACAACCAAGCTTAATGGTTTTCTTGACACATTGAGAAGACAGTCTTTCACCTGTTCTACAGCGTACGCAAGTTTTGCCCTCAGAACCAAATATAGTAAACATGGACTCGTCACTGAAATAAACTGTGTCCCATTGTGCGTCAGTCCAAACAATATTTTCTCTCGCATACTCCAGGCGTGCCATTTGGTTTCGCTTTGAAATGAGAGACTTCGAAGCTGGAATACGGGCATGCAATCCTGCATTTTTTATTCTGCGAGCAACCATTTTTTCTTTGAGATCTTATCTGTCTCTTCATTAAATTTACGGGCAATTGATGTAGCAATTTAAAACGGTTTTTGTAGATAGTCTAACAATTCTTCGATCTACTATTTGCGATGTTTTTGGTTTTGCATCTGACGTTTTATCTGCTTTATACCTGCTAATTACACGATGTCCGACACTTTTAGACCTATGAACAATATCAGAAATTGACTTTTTTTCTTGATAGTTAGCGATAATGAGTTTTTTTCTTCAAAAGAGTGCGTTTTGCGTGTAGAATTTGCCATAATGCTTAAAAATAAAGTCCCAATGAAAAATGAATTTTTACTTATTGTTGAAAAGCTCCATCGAGTCTTTTTAACAATGTACATATATATATATATATATATATATATATATATATAGTTAACGCGAAAACTCGTTGTCTCGTTATTCGCATGCAAATTATGGTCGGTCCTCGACTGTATAAAGCAGGCGCGTTTTTGTTTCTGGGCACTTGGTTTTTTGCTTGTGAGAAGGTTGAACGTGTGACACTATTTTGTCGTTTACCCTACTCGCTTTTTCTATCTGCTACTATCAATTGAGTCGTTGCTTTACTACAACAATATTATTTGATCCATTGGAGATACAATCTCCTAAAGAGCACTTGAATTTGTAAACTGTTGGTTTTTTGCAAATCACTAACGGGGATGGGGCGGGTAGGGAATCATTGCGAAGAATTGAGTTGGATATACTAGATTTATTGTAGTATATGATTAACCTAATTTTTTTGCTAGGATCTATTGTAGATATATTAGTATTTACTAATTTTTTAGTATATTTTCATCTTGTTTATAATTAGTATGCATTTGACTACGATATAGGAGATTAATATGTTTGGGATTAGTTGAAGCAGTATTATTTTCTATTTGCTTAGTATTAAGACTTCTAAGAAAGCATTTTATTTTTTTTATCAACTATATAGTTTGGAAAGCTATTATTAATAAGTGTTTGTTTTATATTCTTTAGTTCACTGTAAAAATCTGTTTTGTAGATGAATTAGTTTCTGCACGATGTATTAGATTTTTTATAATTGCTATTTTGTAGTTATATATGCACGCATTTATATGTAAAAAAGAAAAAGTAACCATTATTTTCTTGGGCTTTCAATTTTGGTATTTCCGAAGGAATGATAAACAAAAGCACGCCAATCAAAATGGCCGGCGTCGAATCGGAGGCAAATCTGCAAGAAACGACAAAATAAATAAACTATGTAATGAATAGTGAAACTTTTTCTGTTTGTTTATTTCTCTATGCATCTATCGGATAATCAGTAGCAACCTGTTTCATTACTATATAGTGATCAAATTCTTTTATTCGTTAATACGAGGGCGTGCTTGACGAAGCTTAAAGTCAAGTGTCGTGTTAATATAAAAACGGAATTTTAAAAAAAATATATTTATAAATTTATAGTAAAATCTAAATGCATATAAAAATGTCATTTAGACTAATCTCATAGATATTCAAATATATCCGTATATTTTTCACGGCTAATTACTAGTAAATAAATAAAACAAATGTTTCACCTAAGTCATCTTATTTTCATGTTGCAGCTCAAAGCGAGAAAAAAAGTCAGAAGGCGAAAAAGATTAAAAAGAAGTTAAAGTGCGTGTAGCGTAATGGTTACCGCAATGAAAATAGACATCGCTTAGGCGAGTTCAAATTTCAACAAAGGCTTTGGGAAAGTCAGGGATCTTTTTTTTTTATCTCTCAGCTATGGGTAACAGAAGTAACAGAACAATTCAAGGCTCGAGAGACATTTAAAGTAGAAGATTATTCAATGTGATGTGTGATATAAATGTCAGCGTTGCATGTCGGAAGTGAAAATCATGAGGATAAGAAGGATAGATAACGACTAACCCTAGACTTTCAGAAGTTAAATTTAGAATGTTTAGTGAAGCATCCACATGTGTGTCTGTTCCAGAAAGTGGCAGTTCTCTGTAAAAGCTATCCGAGTGAGAATTCCTCCTTACAATTGGAATATGGAGGGAATGAGGATGATTCAACTCCGTGAACGTAGCACAACGTTGGTGACCCATCTAATATAAAGACTGCTTTTGATTGAAAACCGTGGAGAAAGCAGCGAAAAGCCATTCTACTATTTTCATTAAAAAAAAAAAAACAATCATGACAATGCATAGTTTACATATATTAAAGGAAAGACGGCTGTGGAGGACCATGATCGCTAACATTGTGAAAAGACAGTTTAATTGAGCAAATTATTCTCTGCAACACGGTTAATATTAGCAGCATTATTTTGAATATTGATTAGGTGAAATATTATCAATCATTATTCATTCTTTTCTTTTTTTTAACCAATATTTCTTGTATCTTAATTTTAGTTGCTATTTATTGCTGCCACTTAGAACACCACGGGATGAAAACAAATTTAATTATAATAAAATCTAGTCAAAAATTAATAATGGTTGACGATGCTTTAGTTAATAAACTTTTAAGATAATATCATTACTAGTGGTCTCTGTAAAAACAATGACATTATATTTGCTTCGAACGATCGAGGATAAGTGAAGAATAAATTTATATCGTTAGATTTTATTTTCTGCCAACCATAAAGCTGCTGTAGCTCAAGTGGTAAGACAGATGTTACGGGAAAAAGCTACCCGATGCAAAACGGTTAAAATTTCAAATCTCGTCGAGACTTTGTTTATATCTGATTAATGTTGTTTTCTGATAGCCATTGAATGAAGATCTGAGTGACTGAGATGAAAAAACAAAATTAAGATGAAAGAAATGCTAATCGAAAATTCATAACGGTCAATCTTATTATATCCTTTATAGAAATGAAGATGTGTCTTATATAGAGAGAAAGTTCATGCAATTAGTAAATGCCATGACTCAGAGCTTATAGGAGAGAATGAAGCGGAAGTGTATTAAATTAGAGAAGCTGACATGTAGTTTCAGCTGTCAGTAAGTCTTTTGATCTCTCGTTGCTTTGTTTCACTTTTTGGAGAAGTTACACGTTTGGCGTGAATTTATGCAAACAAGCTGGTACTTTTGAGCCATCTGATCGCGACCTGTTACAAAGTTTCGTATTTATGTTTTTAGAAGAGAAATTGAAAGGTTATTTTAAATTTATTTAGATTAACCAAGACTGGATGAGAAATCCCTTTTTATATCTCATGATTAAATTTTCTTTCTTTTTTTTCACTGAACTTTGAATATTACTACAGTGGTAAATACGGAGACAATTTCTGCCAATTTATAATTAATTAAAATATAGTTGGATTAATGGTGTTTATCTCATTCTGAAAGCAAATAAAATAAATCTGTTACGTGCTTTTTACCAAATAAAAGACCCCAACCGCCTGCAGCTTGGAGGTCCCGCGTGATCCAGAGCAAAGCAAGGATGATAAAAAGAATAAGAACCATTATCTCTGCGAATCTGGAGAGAGAAAAATATATTAGATGTTATTCCATGTATCAATGAATCATTTAACGTTACGAAACGTTTACTAACGTCCACCCATGTTTCATTTATATATAAAAAGGTATCCAAATGCACCTTCACCCTAAACATGCAAATCATTGTCTCTTCAATCAACTTTCAAAGCACTAATCTGGTCCTGGGATCCCATCAACTAAAATAAAAACAAGTTTCCAATTCAGTAAAGTGTGAGAAAACTGAAAAAAAAAAAAAAAAAAAAAACACAGCTAAACTACCAAGACGGTCGCTTCACACATATTTTCTCCTTGGCAGTGGCTTCTTGTTCTTTCGGGTTTGAAGTATAAATTAATGAATTTCAAACCTAAATGAGCGTCTCTCAGTTAGTACTTTTTTCATGGGGGGTGCTAAAGTTTATTCCTGACGCTTGAAGAGACAGGACTAATTTTAGGCTCTACTCCCATATAAGCTTGGCACTCGCTCTTTAAACTTGGCATTGGGTCTTTTTTCGTTCGAGTGGATAAATATTTTATTATCCGTCAGTTCTCACAAGCAGTTAAATGCAGTATAACAGTCAATATTGTTCACATTTCAAATATGATAGTCAATTCACTAGACCTGCACGTGTCGCCTTGACCTTCGTTGAACCCTCTAACGAATACAGGTCGAACTGTCATAATTGTCGCTTGATACTATTTATAACTAATTTATAAGTAGCAACGAGTTACATCTTTATTCCTATTATACTTCTAAGTCATTCTTCCTCACTAACGACGCAAACCGTAATATAATCATTGCGACAATGGTGGCTTGTAAACCCTTATTTTCAACTTTTGTCGGTAATTATGTTACTCGACTATCAATTTAAAAATCATTTTGGATCATTTTCTACAGTATATTCAAAAGTTTATATTCTCGAAAAGAATAGATATTATTATCTATAGTTATTTACATTTTATGTCAATAATGGGTGTCTTGGAAAGAGAGAATATTTCCAGCTTGCTGTTCTCAATTATAAGCATTAGTATATCCGTAATATACTAACGTCTTAATACAACGGACCGAAGAACCAGGATAGCTGAAAGAATGACAAATACGGATTGTTCTCTAAGAGATTTTATATTCCGTTATCTCATACAAGGCATTATATAAAAATATGTATATATCTGTTACACAGAAACTATAAAAGTCACAAATACAACAAGCAGTGTGAACGCGTGAAAAATCGAGAGTATCTTACTTGGAATATTTCCCGAAACGAAAACGACGAAGCCGGTGGTGTTCTGTGATCCTTGGTGGAACCACATGGTTTTCCATATGTAAACCCTACCGCTGCGGGCTTATATAGCCATTGCTGCCCGTCAACACATAAGCCGACGTCAATCACCGGCCAAAGGGAGATAATCATCCTGCATCCTTACATCACCGTTGCTATAACTTTGTTAGGATAATCCATTTCATAGTACCGTTTGTGGTTGTGGTGGTAAAAGCAGCAGCAGTAGTAGTATAACAATTTTTTAAAATCCTGTCACTATATCATCCATATTTGGCTGTGGTGCACGTACCTGGTATATCCTATTCAGACGAGGTGTCATCATATCTCCATTCAATATATCCATTATAGTAATATAGAAACAAAGAAAAGAGTACTGAACTGTTACGTAGTATTCGTCCCCCTATATGGCAGTAAATACTCGACAAGATCCTCAAAATGAAGAAGAGACTTGAACCAACAGAAATGGTGTTCTACAGAAGGATGCTGGAGATGGACTAAAGATGTGAGCAACGACGAAGTTTTTCGATAAAATGGAAACAAAATGGATACTTATACTTAACACCAGAAAGAGGTGAAAATTCTAAGACACATAATGAAAAAGTGGGGTTTGGAAAATTTGATACTCACGAGACATAAGGAGAGAGGAAACCAGCGCATGACTTACCTAACGACCTTGTGTAAATGGATATCAGAACAAGGTTTAGAAGAGATGACAAAAGACAAAATTTACTAAGAGCTACAAAGGTAGGCACCACCACTGAATTTTCGATACCTATGGTTTAAAATAAATTTTAAAAAATGAAAACGCATTCTTGAAGATTTCATTTTAGCTTTAATTGAAAAGTAAATGATTATATTTACTATTTCCAGTAAGTAAAATATTCTGGTGTATTTCAACTACAAATTACCTAGATCGGAATCTCATCTTTTTACTCGATTTCAAAAAATCTTACAAGCGACCATTTTCTTAATTTTTAAGTAATTTGTAAACAAAACAAAATTGTCGGTTTTAAAAATTTTCCAAAAATAAAATATTTGTGACACGTTATTTGAGTAAAATTAGCAAATTTAAAATTAATTTAATCTGATTTGAAATAAACATTACTTATGGCATAAAAATTAATAAACAGACATTTTTAACGACGGTTCCTGTTTTTCTTATGTCTTCATTGACATATCGATAAGTTCCGAAGTGTTGAAAGCTAGAATGGATGACCAGAATTTACATAAATTTACGAAATCTAAGTGAACGCACTTCTTTTTTGGTTTTTAATTACCTAGTAATTTTTACAAATTAACATATTTTCAGCAATTATTTAATATTTTATTGACTTTCAGTTAGGTTTCAAAATGCTTTATGAAAATTGGATTTCGTTTCTAGGTTCTTAAGTTTACTAACTTAAACAAAAAATTACTTAATTGAAGTGTGACCCAAACTAAAATAAATACATCAAATAAAAATATTTAATGAAATAGTGATTAAAAAAAAAAAGTAAAACTTACTTAGAAATTTTGAAGCGACGATTTGCAAAGACGTTAACGATGAAACAGAACTGGATAATGAAATTGAAAGAATTGCAGAGCGCCAGACGACTCTTAAATCACGTGAGCTTTTAAAGGATAATATTATTTATGGTTTACCATAATTACAAATTGGGAATGTTTATACACTAATTTTTTTTTAATTTTTGATAAATTTAGATACAATTGACCTTTACAATTTTGTATTCGTAAATGTAGTTTTCACTTAATAACAATATCACTTAACCGCCTCGAATAATGCAGAATTTAAAACAATTTTTAATACTATAAATTATTTAATTAAAATTAAAAAAAAATAAAGCAATTCTTGTAAATATTAATTATTCATCGAAAAAAAAAAAAAAAAAAAAAAAAAATTTCTTCTTAAGACAATAGTGTCCTTAATAAATAAAGGAATTAAAAGCTTTTCCAATTAAATAATGTTATAGTTTTATTGCATTTTTTATTTTACAATTCAGAGCAGATTTTCGGTGAATGGGTTAATAGTTAAAAAAATTGATAATTTACATTATCCAAGGAGTCCTGCTTTTAACTAATAAAAGAATCCCGCGATAAAAAATTTAATTTCTTCAAATTTCATGAAATTGGTTGGGGGGGAAGGTGGTTATTAAGCGAGAAATTGTACCTTACCACAATTTCAGGTATGATACGCGTGTAACAGCTTCAGGGAGCTTTAATGTCACTTTTGTCATTTCTAATCTATTTCTGTCTATGCACTATAGACGAGTATTGAACAGTAAATGTAATAAACAAATTAGATAATCAGCCCTGTATTTTGTACTTTATTTCGGTTTGTATACTTTAAATACAGGTAATTTTATTACATACTTCATTCGTTTTGATTCATTTGAATAAAGAATACAATCTCGATCAAAGTTTTCGTACAGAGTACAATAACGACTGGATAGATTTATTTATTTTATGAGATTTCATTTTAGCTCAAGGAATCGTTAAATGGATGAGTCACTAAGTGAGGCGTTGAGGTCCTGAATGATCTACGAGATTATATTAACAAACATCGCATTAGATTACACAGGTCTGGAAAAGACTGTAATATATCCGAATTCCAACTTGTTGCTAGAAATTAAGTAACCACCATGTATCGCTAGTGAATACTGGTCACGACAAAAACAAGATGTACAACTGATACCTTGTTTTCGTGCATGAATAAATACGTGTATTTGTAAGTTTGTGGTTAGTAATATGAAATTACCTGAAAAGAAATCACATGCGAGATTTATGACTGGAAATAACTCGTCAGGCTTGTTTGTCGAAGTCTTAACGGTTTAGATTTTCACCTTGCACACTTTTTACTACGTTTCGTCAAAACCTTTTAGTCTTTTGACATTATGATTTCTTTAAAAAGACAACGTAACAGTATCCAGTTGTCAGTTCACTTAACGACGGTACAAGAATAAACAACAATAAATTACTTGCATTCCGAAATGAAATAATTCTATTTATTCATTTTCTTCACCTTATTTGAAAGAATAGAAAGAAGGCATTACCCATGTAACAGAGCAGTATTCTGTTTATTTTTATTATTGTCCTAACTTTATAGGTCGTAGAACGAAGTAGAATTAAATGACAGACAAGATTTTAAATCGCACCCAATGATTTGGAAACCCCGAAACAACAGGTTTAAGATTTGAAGTGGAAGATGAGAGTATGGGTGTAAATTTGAGTCCATTTAATCATAGGATTATGCAAAGAAAGCTATCAAGGCATCGTCTGAGAGAGATGAGATTCCAGAATATGGGGTGCAAATTCAGGTTTCGTTGAAAACTTATTCAAACTTTATTCTACGTCCTAGAAAGTTATAAGGTTTTTGAAAAGACCAACAAAAATAATTGACACCATTAACAGGAATTCACTTAAAACACCGCTTTATTATGACGTGTAATTAGTTGGTCATATGATTCCATGAGAGCTGTTACATTCAATGTCGTGATTTATTGTGCATGAAAACATACAACAATTGCGGCACAAGCCCTAAAAGAGAGAATGGGTTGAAGCTAATCGACACTATCTTATACCTAGCTAATCCGATTCATGACCCACCCATTCATTCCAATTTACACGTCCACCACAAGACCTCGTCCATCATCATTCAATCCTACATATACCACAATACCGCACACACACAGAGGGAACGTACAAAACACCCTGTAACATAAAAATTGTCGAGATAAAATTATATATAAAAACCTGTTGATGATAAGTAGAGAGGGGGGATGAACCCCAAAACAAACTAAAATATAACAAAATTACACAAACTGAAGATAACTTATGTTAGTTGAGCCCGTCCAACCCCCAAAGAAATACGAGAGGTCGCTGTATTCTGTTTTCAGACAAAATCAAGAGGTTCTCTCGCTAAGGGAGAAGGGAGAAGGAAGGATAAAATAAATACGGCCATGTGGAAAAAAGAAACTGACCCAGTCGAGATTAAAAAAGTGGGGGGGGGCAAAAAACAAACTGGGGAGGTTGGAAATCTCGACTTGGATCATAGCCAAAGAGGAAGCGGGGAACAACACTTACTCACATTAAAGTACACAAGAAGGGTCTATCCTAACCAGGGAAGGGCTTCACAGGAAGCTGCCCCGTTGTGTATTAATGAAACTTAAAGAAAATCAAGGCTAGCCTCGTTCGCACGAACCAGGCTCGCCATAGTTACCCACATTTCGCCGAAATCTGTCGATAGCAGTGCCTCTCTGGACGCTTTCTATCAGTTCTAATCTTCACCCTGAACTGATGCTCACTGAATCGGATTAGATCATGAGGAGTATAGCATTCATATCGCAAGACTTTCTCCGTTCGCGTCGTCCAAATCATTCGAGCCGTGGCTAGCAACGTCAGAAACACCATCCGTTTCACCCCAGAATACGCGGGCGACACATTGTCCCACGCGTATGCGTGATCAGTGAGCACCGAGCATTTCGGAAGCGATACGAGCCGTCAACTCGCCGACATAGCCCCATAAGAAGCACATCCGAGGACAATGGTAGAAAGCGTGCGAAGCTGTTTCTTCTAAGACAAGGTTACATCGTTCACTGTTTGGCAGATCCGCCAAGCCTCATATAAAGGCCTTGTCATTAAAACATTCCGAACCAGTCGCCAGGTAAGCGAAAACTCAGGCTTGCGAAGGTAATCCGCTGCTGGCGCCCAAGACTAAAAGAAGCGAAACTCGTCCACCAACAAGGCGAGCCGGCCACGTAGTGGATCCTTCGCGACCTGCTCCAATAGTTCACGATAAAGACTCTCCTAGGCCTAGAAACGTCAGAATGACTCTCAAGGCCAATCGAAATTTCTGGAAGAAAATCGATTGATCCCGGGGCTTACGAATGCGCTCAGCCCGCGAGATGGGAGGAGTGATAGTAAGAAAAGAGAAGGCAGTCTTTACACTCCCAGACAAAATCGAGGCCCCCGTCAATGCGCGACGTAGGAAATCCAGCCTCGAGGTGAGTTTGTGAATCTCCAAGTGCGGTATTTTCACGACACGGACGTTGGCACAAACTTCTGTGGATATGATGCTCGACTACCCCCCAAGAGGGAGGAGAGCAAGCGCTCGATCGCCTTCTTACATTCCTTACAAGAAGGAAGTACAGACAAGCGGTAAAGGACAAGAGGAAAGACGTAAGCGTCTCTTCAAGGACAAACTCCTTTGGCGCTAAGTCTCGACCGCCGCGCCAACATTTGCCTGTACTTCTGACCAATATTTTTCCAAAGCACACTCCGAGAATACGGTGAGGACCGTCCGTCCAACTAAAGCGGCCGAAAGATCGACCCCCTTTCAGGTACCTAACCGCAAGCCGGAAGACTTGTTGCGGTTAATCTTGGCCCCGTGAACTTTTCGTACCGTTGAAGCTACTTCAGTATCACATCAATGTCGCTGCGGGACGACACGAAAATAAATACATCATCGGCGTACGTGGAAACTATGGCTCGAGACCCACCAGAGACAGCGATTACACGTAGGGTTAGACTGTAGGCCCTGCCCCTTAGCCGGCGAAGGAGAGGCTCCAACGCCAAAGCGTAACGTTGGGGCGACAGTAGACAACCCTGACAAACCGACCGAGACAGCACAAAAGCACGCGACCACTTTTCGTTCACCGCACTGAGGGGGCGGGGGCGATACAGGAGGTTAATCCACCGATAGAAGTCGGTTTTAAGTTCAATGTCAATTCGCCTCCTATTTATAACATTTATGTAACTATATGCAAATAAATAAATAAAAAGGGGAACTACTTTTTAATCAGCCGAACTCCAAGTTCATTTCAAATTTAAAGTTAACTTTACATGCACTTCTAATCCTTTATCTGCAGGAGTTTAGTGTTAAAAAAACTTTTAAATATATATGCTTACATTTTAGAAAATAGTTTTCTGTGTAGACACGTTCAGAACGGAAGAAAAAAAATATAAATGGAAATAAATTTTTGCATAAAATAATGATACCCGTGAAAGTAAATTTGTAAAAAATATTTCGGATCTTGTCAAGATTAGTGTACCCACGTCAGAGTTTGCTATGCTTTACAAGATTGGGTTCGCTATTCTTTATATAAAATTAACTGGGTTCGCTATTCTAGACATGAACATTTTGGCACAAGCAACTTTACGGTTCAATAACTGTTTTCATATACGGGTTTTAATTAAGATATCCAGGAATCCTCAAGTTGGATAGATCTACGTTCACTGAGGTTGTGAAGCCATTACTTGAGGAGAATAGCTTACCAGTGATTGACTGGATGAGGAACAAATCACTTATTCGACGGGAATTAAAATGTGAATCATGTAAGGCATTTATGAATTGGATAAAGTGCCTCTCTGAACGGTTATGTGTGGAAATGCCAAATGAGAGACTGTTCATAGTACAATCGAAATGTAGCAATAAGAAAAGACCCATTCTTTACTAAATCAAAACGGAATATAGTTAACATTATTACGTTATTGGGGTTCTGTAATGCAATCAATTATTTTAACTGTTTTTTTTTTTCATGTAAGGTAAATATGTTATTTTAATTGTTCATTTATCAATAAACGAGTTCATGTATATTTCCAATATTGTTTTTAATAAATAGAACATTTTATCAAGGTTTCGCTATTCTTTACATGGGGATAATTGGGTTCACTAATTTTGGCATAGGGATAATCGAGTCTGCTGTTCTTGACATGGAAATGTTAGGTTCGCTAATCTTGACAAGATCAAATATTTCGAAATAAAAAATATGCAATTACAAAAAGGTATAATTGTTTTGTGCAGAAGTTAGCAATATTTGCATTTCAGTGTTCATCATCAAACGAAGTACATTTAAATGATTTAACTCGTGTTAGAACTGAACTCGTCAACAGCATTAAGAATAAAATATTTAGATTCAGTATACAGAAAGTGAGCTACATACGTTTCTGAAAATTAAAATCTAGTATAGTTTAATAGAAAATGTTTATAATTTAGTTGGTTTGTTTTTACTTTTAAGTCGGAATTAAATGTTCCTTTTTAAGAAAACTGATTTCGGAGCTATACTGAAGATAAAATAGAAATAAAATATAATCATATTGTATAATACATTAAACAATGGAAATTTATGACATTCAACGCTTAACGATGTTGAAGCTTTCGCTACCAGCTGGGCGTCAAACGATGTTTATTACGCAATATTCTCTTTCTCCTCCAAAATTTAGGCATTGTTCTCACTTTGTTCTCCGTACAATGCTTTTTAGTCTCTATGGAACATCTATTATTCTATTCTTGGCTTACCGATGCCGGCGAAAAAGAAAAGAAAAAGACCTTAAAGATAATAGCAACGCTGCTTGGAGGTTACGAAAAGAAACAGTTGTGAATCCACATTTTCAGAATTAAAGAGTCAATGTTTTATCAATCTGTAGCCACCATTTGGAATTCGAACTAGACAATAAAAAACAGAATTCTGTTGTGAAATATGTCTGTACTTACGACATTGGGCCTAACTTTTCATATTCTCTGCTGACTACTGCTTTTACATTCTGTTTCACTTCCTCAGTCTGTTTCACGCCACAACAACTGCTAAATCCTCTATTACGAAAATATAAAAGAGAAAAAATGATAGCGTAAAAAATGAAGCGATGGCAATGAAGTCAATGAAAAAGGGGATAAAAATTAATCATAATCCTGACACTGCTGAAATAGCTTGTTGAAATTTAATATTACATGGATAAGCTTCAGAGGGGTATATCACCCAATACAATATTTTTCTCTTGGGGAAGGAGCTAGGGTCATTACCTGTTTTTGTACATATAGACATGCATACATATGCATGCTTATTGGGCACATCGAGGCGGTGTAATGGTTAGCAAGCTTGTCTTCCTAGAACAATTACGACTGAGTAGTGAGTGATCCTCACTGGGTGCCCCATACTTTCGGCCTTGTGCCACATTTAAGCTACGCTCGGAAAATAACTATATGCAAAAGTATTAAAGTGAAGAAAATCTTAAATAACAAAAATAAAAAATTAACCAACAAAAAGTGTTAGAGAAGAAAAATCTTTGCGTACTCATTTTCTTGTAAAGTGGCCTTATATATTTTTAAAAATGACCTTATATTTTCCTCTAAAATTGAATACGATAAATCAAAACTCAGCAACGTGTAAAAAAAATAAGCTACTTAAAACATGTTGGAATTTTTTGAAATGAAAAGTTTTTTCACACGCGTCACTTAAGTTCGTACAAACGTACACATCTATATATGAGTAAATGTAGGTAACTCCACGAAATCGCTAAAAATAGCATAGCATGATGAAAAAGACGCCAAACTTGACGAAAATAAAAATTTTTTGTCTAAATGTTCATGTTATTATTAAGAGGAAAGACCAAAGTTTTTTTAATTATTTTTTAAAATTTTTCTTTCTTTTTAGAACATTCTAAATTTTGATTAAAAAAAACCTTGTTTCCCTTTGTATCACCGGAACTAGTAAAATAACAGACAATTTTTAGTACTTTTTTTTTTTTTAAATGGCACACATTAATTTGGAAAATCTTACAAAAATAAAAATAATTGTCGGATGTTAATGAAACTTTCAGAAACTATTCACACATGATCCAAATTATTATAATTATGTTGTTTTTGTTTGTATTAAAGTCATGGCAGAAATATAAGTAATTTCATGAAAACGCTAGAAATTCGATCGCATCGGGTTTAGTGATTACAATATTTAAAAGCACAAGTCTTTGAGGAATGCAAATCATGTTTTGTTTTTTGTTTTTTAATTGGATCCGCACTATCTGAAAATCAGCTCTGAATTGTAACATACAAAACTCAATAAAACAAATATATTATTTAATTTCAAATGCTTTTATTTGCTTTTAGTTGTTTTTATGAATATGGGCAATATTTTCTGAAAGCAAAAATTTTTTCGATGAAAAATATTTGATAAAATATTATAAAATTAGTTAAAAGCCGCATCGGGTTTCCTAAGTGTCCTTATGAGATAGATCTTTTTTTTCTTTTTTTTTTTCTGGCGCGTTGTAAATTGTATCATTTTGACTAATCAGAGGATCCGCAGTAATTAAGAAATGTAATTTTGTGTTTATAATCAGGCTGTAATTATAAAGTACGGGAGACCAACCAGAATACAATTAAGCTGCGTTATTTGATTTAAACATTGTTCTCCGTTGTTAAGGCCATTACTTCTGCGAAACACGTGTGGAGAAGTTAATTTGATTTTTCAATTTCAACTGAGAAGGGTACCTACAAGTATCAGTATCATCTTATGAAATTTATATGATCTTATTTTTATATTAATCTCAGTTATGACATTTTTCCAAAAATGAAATATCAAAATTAATAATAAAATGAATGGAAATACAAATAACATAGTAAAATGTAATAACTGTACATAAAATTATAGTATTTTATGTACACTTCTGATAAAATTTCATAAGAAAGGTACCTATAAATTAATTAGATACCTTTCTTATGAAATACGAAATTTAATCTCACTCTTAACAGTCTTATTTTAATTTCTTTATATTTTCCATTTTCCGTAAATGTAAAAGTGTAAGCTAAGTACAAAAAAAATAGAGCGCTGAAAGTTTTCCTTCAAAATAACGAGGTAAATAATTTGTTCACTTAAATCTAAATAACTTCACTTTTCGGCTTCCATAGAACAAATTATGAAAACGTAAATCCGTCAATACGTCATTCAACACCTGTCAAGTGACGCGAAAGTTTATGACCTGCTTTGTTTTATTTTCAAATTACATCTTTTCAGCGCAGAAGCTAAATCAACCTTGGTTCAAAATATTTTAAATAAACATTATAATTTCTGATTTTCTTAAAAAGTTTTGAAAAAATAATTGATTTTTAAAAGAATTTTCACCTTTTTTATAAAATGGAAAAAAATGGATGCCATAATCGATTATCTGTCAATTTTGCTGACTCAAAAAAAAAAACTTTTAACGAAAATTTCGGACGTGCTCGGAACGATTAAAAAATGTAAAAAAAATACCAAAAATACTTAGATCTTTCCTCTAAATAACAACATGAATATTTCGACGATAAAATTTTGTTTTCGCCAAGTTTGGCGTCTTTTACATCATGCTATGCTCTTTTTTTTTTTTTTAGCGATCTCATGGAGTTACCTAAGTAAATGTAAGTGTAATGAAAATATTAAGAAAAGCATTGTAAAATTGGATTTAGGTGATATCGCTTAAATCTGTGAGAAATGTTATAAGTATTAGAATTCGCCCAGCAGGATCGCTTATTGATTAAAATGTTTAAATTATTTACCAAATTTAGACATGAGAAAATTATCTTCATTTCACGTTAAGTAAGAAATTTACTTAAAATTTGCATATGTATTTATTTATTGAGAATTTACGCACATTTATTTCATATTGAAAGTTGTTCGTCAATTCGCACAGAAGAAATGACATTGTAAACCCCGGGATCAATCGATTTTCCTTCGCGAGTGTCGGTCGGCCTTGTTGGCCGTTCCTCGGTCCAGTGACCCTTCTCGGCCTAGGAAGGTCTTCTATCGTCTTTTAGTGGAGGGGGTCGCGAAGGATTCCCTACGTGAGGAGCTCGACTTGTCAGAGGAGGAGTTTCGCTCTTACTGGTCTTAAGCGCCAGCGGCGGATTATCTCAGTAACCCTGAGTTTTCGCTTACCTGGCGATTGGCTCGGAATCGACTGCCTCTCAATGACAAGGCCTTCATATGGGGCTTGGCGGATTTGCCAGACTGTGAACGGTGTGGTCTTGGTTTAGGAGAAACGGCTTCGCACGCCTTCTACCATAGTTCCCGGGTACCCCCGCCCCGCCCCGCCTATGGGACCATGTCGGCGAGCTGACGGCTCGTCTCGCTCCCGAAAAGCTCGTGCCCATTGATCGCGCATACGCGTGTGACAATGTGTCACTCCCGTATTCCGGGGTGAAACGAATGGTGTTTCTGACGCTGCTAACCATGGACCGAATGGTGATTTGGACGACGCGAATGGAGGAAGTCTTGCGAGGCACCCGTCTTTCTCATCAGGATCTAATTCGATTCTTTGAGCATCAGCTCAAGATGAAGATTAGAACTGATAGAAAACACTTGCATTCGACAATCTTCAGCGAAAGGTGGGTGACTGAGGCGAGCTTGGTTCGTTTGAACGGGGCTAGCCTTGATTTTCTCTTTTAAGTCAAGCCTACGTCGCATCGGGGTGGTTTCCTGTGGAGCCCTCCCCTTAGGTTAGACAAGCTTTTATGTAACTAGTTAATGTGAGTAAGTGTTATTCCCGGCCTGTCCTCGGCTACATCTTTGGTTATGATCCAGGTCGAGATTCCCAACCTCCCCAGTTTGTTTTTGGCCCCTTTTATCGCGACTGGGTTAGCTTTATATTTTCCCATGCCGGTATGATTTTTATCCTTGTTCCCACTCCCTTAGCGAGAGCGCCTCTTGATTTTGTCCAGTGGGCAGAATACAGCGGCCTCTCTGTTTTGAGGGTTGGACGGGCCCTACTAACATCAGTTATGTTTAATTTGATTTGTGTTAATAGTTTAGTTTGTTATTGGGTTCATCTCCCGTCCCTCTCATTTTTTCATCATAGATTTTTATATATATTTTAGCAGCATTAAACTTTTATGTCACGGAGTGCGTTTTGTAGGTCTCCCTCGTGAAAATGTGGTATTATGGTGTATAGATGATTGATTGGTGACGGATGAGTTCTTGAGGTGAATGTGGAAATTGTAACGTATGAATTTCCGAGCACTTTCTCATGGATAACTTTCCCATTAATGACTTTAGAACTCTGGTGATTGTCAAATTTCTTCTGTATTTCTTTTTCTGGAGCGACCTGGGTTTCAGCAGTAGATTCCTTCCGTCGACTCCTTGAATTAACTCCTGGGCCACCTTTTATTACGTAGGCAATGTCTGATTTCTCTCAGAAAAGCAGACGATACACGCTCAAGCAACTTAAATTTCTTATGTCTCCATAGACTTACTCCTTTGCTTGAACTCTCATAACATTGTGACCTAAATGCATTTACAATCCCTTACAGAGCACCTACTGACATATTTGCACAGGAGCTGTCCAATCCTCACATTCCAATCTCGATAGTATTCCCTCTGCAACCCCACATACGAGAAGTCTGCAAGCCTCTCTCTATTGTACCGCTACTTCCATGGAAAGTGCTCGGACGAACTACATTTATTTGCACTAGTTATAACCTTCACGGCTAGGATCCACCATGCTACGCGCATTGTAGCGAACGACCTTCACCCTCTCCGTATTCCATTGGTGAGAAGTTACTTCCACCCGAGCAGATTCTTCCAGCTGACCACTACAGTGTGAAACCGGCTCCCATGAAAAGGTTTTCCCCGATTACTGCAATCTTAAACTGTTAAAGTCTTATCTTCCCCATATATCCGCATAAATTATACCTCTTACTCTGTAAACCTCTACCTCGATGTACAGGGCTAATATCGCTCTAAAGGAAAAAGTGTCATGTGTATGTCGCCACTATTAGTGTAATCCAAATGTATTAACTGCGACATTTGATCCGTAGTCAGAATGCTATAGTTTTAACTACAATTTGTCACCTAAAACAGAAAATAATCAAATGTCGCAGTCATAATCAAGTGTCGCATTTGGAGTATACTAATAGTAGTGACATACACAGTACACTTTTTTTAGAGTGATATTAACCCTGTACAAGGCCAGAGGAACACTCGAGGTAGGGGGGGGTTACAAAGTGGTACTGTTATTGAGTAACTGTCAAATCCTCTCATGCATTTACATTTATATCTTTACCTTTTTACTGCAGTGTACAAAGTCTTCTAATGGTAATAGAAAAAAAATAGCAACAACAAATATTGATAAGTACCAAGCAGACAGTGCTATGTTTCATGTCAAATTATAAAAAGAAAGAAAAAAACACAGTGCGGAGGATTTCTACCATTAGGAAGTGACAAACTGAATTACTTTGGAAACGAAACAAAATATCGAAGATATCGACATGACGTATAGCGAAGACTTTAAAAAATTGCTCAGAAAGTAATTTCAAATTATAGCTAATTTCTAAGACTTGTTTGTGGTCTAAAAAAAAAAAATGCTATCCATAGAGGGTGAGAAAACTTTAAAATATGAAACCTGCAACTTCCAAATAAGTTTCCCTTTATTGCTGGAGAGTTCAAATACTCAAATTTAAAATAAATGTTTATTTCAAAACTGGAGCTTCTTGCAGAAATTATTTATCATTCGCAATATCTGGAATCTCGATTAATTTGTCTACTTACCTGCAACGAAGGAAGAACGTTTGCAGCCAGACCCAAGTAAGGATTATGTTGATGACCGACAAAGGAACGCCTAACAACATCCAATTTGCAAATGTCACTTCAGTCTTTAAACCACGACTACCAAAAAGTCTATAAAATATAGAATTATTTTTACGAATACATCGACACATAACGGTATAAACATTATAAATAAAATGAATCAATGATTTGATTTTGTTTTTAAATCAAACGAATTAAATGAGAAAAAAATGAAGAAATACATAAAAACAAATTTTAAACTTAGTTTGGATGGTTATCTTGGTAAATAAATTACAGGTTTGTCGAAATTGCCTGCAAAAATTGTAGATATTTTATTTAGACATATTGGAAAAAACTTTTCTTTTTCTACATAGGTAATTCTCAAAGGAAAAAAACCCCAAAAACAAAGAAAAGTCATTTGAATAGTGTCAACCAAGGCTATAGCACCCAATCTATCCTGATTGTGTGGAGAAACGATGGCTTCATGCTTTTCCCAAGGACATTTGCGCGTAAGTGAATGTAATGAACCCGAATGGAATTCGACCTCGGCTTTCCGATTTTCTCATTCCGAGTCGATACGCATTACAACATGACGCACATCTTCATTAGTAAACGAAAAATCTTACATAAATTAAACATCGACTCGTATAACTGAGAAAAATCGAAAGTACTTTTGTGCACAATCATTTCGTATCGGTTCGGCGATTGTACACGCCGGCGCTGCTTGTTTATACAACTTATTCAAACAATTATAAAAGCATGCAAGTAAAACTTGAAACCAAATAGAATTATTGTTTCCTGTTCTGATAAAATTAGCTCGGGAATCGAAAAAAATATACTTCTGAGGACCCTTCTAGCTCGTGGAGGATAAATTCGCCATTCAGATTGAAAAAGTTAGGGGTGCTGGCCAACCTTGGAGCACATCACGTTCTATCCTATGTCAATTAGAAAGGTGGTTATTATGCTTAACAGTTTCTTGATGATAGTATACGTCTTTGAGTATGCGTTGGTCGTTGTCAGTGTGGTTGTCTCAAACATCTGAAAGAGGTATGCGCATCTTACTCTGTCGAACGCTTTCTTGTAAACTATGAAACATGCATAGACGTCCTGCTAGTATAGGATGCTACCGTCATTAATCATTTTATGAATTAAAATTTTAAAAATCAAAACCTTGGCTTCCATCCTAGAAGCAAATACTGGATATTCCTTAAGCTAAAAAATATATATATATATTTAAAATATAAATTATCACTAAACAGAGCACTCGCTATTCAGAGAGAGGGCGTATGTATGTGTGTGTGTCATTACCCATTTATCGTGAATAACATCAGAAAATATACTTACTCGTCAGCTTGACCTTTAAGCACCAAATTTGGTGGTGTACCTGTAAGTGTACCCGTACCACCCGTATTGGCAGCATAAGCGATACTCAAGCAAACAGCTTTACAGAGACGGGAAAAGTTTTTGTCATTGTCTTTATCGGCATTCAATTGGAGGCTATAAATAGTTAAAGAAATTTATTAGATAGTCAACAGGTTATCTATTATCGCAAAAAGTTAAATACTGTCAAGAAAGTAACATCAAAGTTTGGTTGAAACGATTTTTTAATTAATAACAATTTATAGCAGTTTGATTTAGATTTAATTATGCAGTTAATTAAAACTGAAGTGGGAAATTTGTTTTTCTCGAATATTTCAGACAAAAAATCCACATTTTTACTATTTTAAACATGACTAAAAGAAAACCAAATGATGCATTTGATTTTCTTCTATGCAAAAGGAGAGACTTGTTTGCTTACTTCCCCAATTCTATTTACTTCAACAGAAAAATAACATTAATTCATATTCTCCTGGTGTCTGTTTAAAGACGACAACTTTTTCATATCCATAAAATCCACAAACTATAATTTTTAAAATTGAAAATTTCACTGAAATAAGTTTTCAGTTGAAATCAAGACGACACTAGCTTTAAGCAAAAGCACAATTAGTAGCATTGTACAATCATTATTTGGGGCTTATTAATTTACTCAAATGTGGCTGGAAGATAAACTATTAACTAACAAATCTCGTAGATCTTCTTTGACAGCCAACTTTTTTTATATATACTGCTTTGTGTATTGCTAGTTCGAATCCAGAAAAATGTCAAGATCTTGTATTTTGAGATGGGGAAAAACAAGTGACGAAGATTAAAAATTATTTGTACATAATTGATCAAAATAAAATAGTGGATTTAAATGCAAAACAAACTTATATATAAATAGTATGACAAATTGGAAAAAAGATTGTGACATGTTTCATCAGTTAGCTTTGTTGATGTTACCACGTCTACACATGCGCACGAAACGAGAGACGCTGAAAGAATTTTTTTGAAAGAATATTTCTTCAATTTAGCCAAATTCATCTGTATTCTTTTTCTCTCCATCATCTTTGTCCCTGACTATCCCACACTTTTGTAGGCCACCTGAGAGTATACGATATTGTGGTATATGGAAGATTGAATAGTTATGAACAAGTTCTTTTGGTGGATGTGCAAATTGTAATGAGTGAATCTGATTAGCTAGGTATAAGATAGTAAGTGATGACCAGCCTCAGCACACACCCGATCCATTTTCAGCCTTGTACAACAATTGGATTTTATATACAATAAATCTTGACTATCCCACACTGAAAAGATAAAATCTACCAAGAATGGTGATTTATTGTAAGAGCCTGGACGCAAATTTATCGTGGCTGAACTAGCGGTCAAAGCACTTTCCAGACAGTTTTGTCTTAGGGATTATTTTCTCTTTTAATCAAAATAGAATTCCCTATGTCAAAATTGTGGTCTGTTTTGTTACGAAGAACAATCAATGCGTTTTGTGTGTTTTTTAAAATGTCCTTTGAAAATTAATATACATTAATAATCATTTTTTCAAAAACATTATTAAAGAAAAATTTGTAAATTTGTTAATTTTTAAATATTAGACGCTTCTTTGAAATTTGCAACTTGTTTTTTAACGTCCTTTTTTTATAGTAGAATCTTTTTAAAATTTCTGGCTTCGTGGTAAATCTTTCGAGTTTACCATGTTAAATATGTATGTAGTAAAGAATTTTCGACTTATTGTACCAAATTATTCAGATCGTATTTTATATATTAGATAAAAAAATCTATATAATTTAAAGTAATGTTTGGACAAATGGTTTATTTTTATTTGCTGATGGGAGGGAGTAGGATTGTTTGTATCGGGTGACTTTTGTCGTTTTAAAGGTTTTGGAAAAATTCTGAAACTAAGTGAAACTAAACTTGAGAAATGTTATTTGTATTAACATAAAATTTGTTGACGGAAATGTAACATATTTGTAAAGGACATCAAATTGTTTCATTTACTGCTTATAAGTAAAGTGATTAATTTCCAAATTATGCTGAAGGATGTGACTATTGGAAGTAAAAAAAAAAAAAAGGTTGTTTTTAAAATGGGAAAATTCTTGCAAAATTGATTTGTTAACCCAGAAAGCTGACATTACAAAATACTAATCATTCTATATAAATAATTTTATTCTTTTTGTTAATCTTTTTAAAAGGATAGTAACTCAGTAATTTCAGATTTATTTAAATATTATAGGTTAAAATTTGTTTAATTAACTGCTCCTTTGCAACATAAAAAAGAAGAAAGAAGCAAAGTTATAAATTAATAAGGAAAAAGCGAATTAAGAAGCAATGATATAAAGGAAGAAAAGAAATAAGAGAATTAACAAGAAGCAATGTTGTAAAATTAAGACAAGAAAACTAAGAAGAAATAACTTTATAAAGTAAGTGTGGAAAAGAAAAAAGATGAAAAATGGGGGACAAAACAAAAACAAACTGGGGAGGTTGGGAATCTCAACATGGGCAATAAAAAAAGAAAAGGCTGGGTAACAGGCCGAGAACAACACGTACTCACATTAACTAAGAAAACATAGCAGTGTCTAACTTAACCAGGGGAGGGTTCACAGGAAACCGCCCCGTTGCATCAAAGAGACTTAAAAGAGAAAATCAAGGCTTGTCTTGTCCATACGAACCAGGCTCGCCTCACTCACCCATCTTTCACTGAAATCTGTCGAAATCAAACACTTTCTATCAGATCTGATTTTTACCCTAAGCTGTTGCTTAAGAAAAACAACCAAATCTTGACGCGAATAACGTTCATCTCGCATAATTCACTCCTTTCGCGACGTCCACACCACCGTTCTAGCCACGGCTAGCAACGTAAAAAACACCATCCGTTTTACTCCGGAGAACAGAGGCAACACATTGTCACACGCATACGCAAGATGAATGCACACGAGCTGCTCAGAAGCGATACGATCCGTCAAGTCAGCGATATAATTCCAGAAAGGTCGCACCTGAGGACAATGGCAGAAGGCGTACGAAGCCGATTCTTCTAAGCCAAAGTCACATTGATGACAATCTGGCAAATCTGTCTCGCCCCATCTCAAGAGTACGTCATTGAAAGGTAGTACGTTCTGAATCAATCGCCAGCTAAGCGAAAACTCAGGGTTGCCGAGATAATCCGCCACTGGCGCCTAAGACCATAAGGAGCTCAACTCTGATGCCGACAAGTCGAGCCTGTCACACAGAGGATCCTTCGCGACCCCCCTCCAGTAATACAATAGTCTCCGAGGTCGAGAAAGGTCACTGGACCGAGAAATGTCCTTCAAGGCTGACCTACACTCGCTGAGGAAACTCAACAATCTCCCACGACCGCGACGGCGTTTACCCCAAGAAATGGGAGGAGTGATAGTAAGGCTAGAGAAAGCGTCCCTAACACTCGGCGCCAAAATCGAGTCCAACCTTGAGGCATGGCGATGACTCGCCAGGTGTGGCAATCCCAGCCCCGCTGACACGGACGCTGGTAACAGGCTTCTTTATGGACGCAATGTTTGCAACATGATGGTGATCAACAAACGCTGGACGCTTCCATACGTGTCCAGCAAAGAGGAAGTACAGCCAAACGGTAAAGGATGAGGGGCAAGACTTAAGTGGCACACGCCTCAACCCTACCCTTTAAGGACAACTTCCTTCGGAGCTAAGTCCGGACTGACGCTCCGACTTTTGCCTGTACTTCTGACCAATTCTTCTTCTGATGGAGTCAGTGCCCGAACCACCCTCCAAGAATGTGGACGGATTCATTAGTCCAACCAAAGGGCTCCGGAAGCGCGATCCCTTTCCAGGCACCTAACCGCGAGCCGGAAAACTTGTTACGGTTAATCTTGTCCCCTTTCACCTTCTCGTACTGTTCAAGCACCTTCTGTCACTTTAATCACCTCAATGTCGCGTCGGTACGACACAAAAATGGATACGTCATCGGCGTACGGAGAAAACCTAGCCAGAGTTCTACCAGTGAAAACAGCGATTCTGGATATCAGGCCTTCACGGCCTGTCCTTCAGCCGACGAAGGAGGGTCTCCAATGCCAAAGCATAAATTTAGGGCGACAGTGGACAACCCTGTCGAACAGACCGAGACAGCTTAAAATCGCTCGACCGCTTCCCATTCACATGTACCACAAAACTGTGAGAGCGATACAGGAGGCTGATCCACTTGCAGAAGTCGGGTTCGAATCCGGCGGCCTGCGGGACAGCAGCCAGATACTGACAGTCAATCCTGTCATACTCCTTGGATTGATCCAAATTGATCAGCGCGACTCTATTGTTGCTTTTACATCCTCTATAATCGTTCGGGTCTGATGCAGGTTGCGTGGATTTGTTCGCCCCGCTCACAGCACAAGTCTGCTCAGATCCCAACAAGCTCGCAACAACTGACTGCAACCTCCATGTCAGGATCTTGGCCAAAATCTTTAACTCTGTGTTTAGCAGAGTTATGGGCCTGTAATCATCTAAATCCCGCCCAACACCTTTGCTTTTTTTCAGTGTGATCACACCCCTGAACATCCCGTTGGGGATGGACTCCTGCTGGAATCAATTGTTGAACGCCACTGTCAAAATCGAGACAAAGATGTGCGACAGCCGAGGAAAGTCAACCAAATAGCTGCGAAACTCGTTGCCACCGAGACCAGGCTTCTTGGTAAAACGGCTCTCGAAATGCTGCCGAAACGCCTCGAACATGTCATTGGTCGACCTCAGAGACCGCCCTTCTGGGGTAATGACCTCGCGAATGTATCGATCGGAAACTCAACAGATCTCTCCCTTGCACAATTCTGCGCCCTTGTTCACGGCTTCATTAGACATTATGTTTAACCTATGTCTAACTACCTGACCCTGGTAGCCCTTGCTAGCCACGCGAGCCCACGTCTCCCCTTCAGATAATCGACGAGCCCAAAGTCGCCGATCATATCAACCAGGCTACGATCGCCCGATGCCTTCCCGCTAGCTCCCCGACCCCTATCTATCTTGGGGTCCATTACAGCATTCCAATCTCCCATAAAGACTAAGCGCGACAAATCAACCAAGAACGGCCCCAACTGACGGAAAAAGTCGACACGCTCCTCCAGGTCGTTGGGCGCATAAATCATAACGACCCG